ACTTGTGAATCTTTTTCACGAGATATGGACAATTTGACATATATTAACAATTCTACGTGTTGTATTTCTTCTTTTTTTTTTCGTTGTTTTATGTGAGACTTTGTCATTATAATAAATATCTATATGTAGTATGTTGTGTGAGTAGTAAGCGTTATATATAAGAAAATAGCCATCGCCGCAGGCAGATGATTGGTCAACGATGTTTAAATGTGATACAGAAACTGACCCGTTCTACTATCAACAACCGTGGTTGGAGGAAATGAACTCAGGAAATACTAGCATATAGCGATTATAGATCCACTGAGCCGGTGGTGGCACACATTCGCACTCGTATATCGGGGATTGTACGGTTTATTCGTGTAGTTTCTTCTTAACGGCGACGTTGATACAAATGTATATGTGTAATTGTCTTGACATAATTTCATATGAACGAACGATTATGTTTCGAAACAACACTTTCGGGTTCAGTGGAGCCACTACAAACCGCAATCGTTCTGAAACATTATTTTTTCCATGCATCTCTTTCAAACTTGAAATATCCTAGTGTCGCATAGTTCTTCATTATATCCGAAGCGCAAAATATTTTCTGTCGATTTTAGTCGACAACAAAATTTACCCCTACTGTGTGTTATTTTCATTGAGGCCTACTTCTAAAACATGAAACAAAAAACATAGTACACCGGCTATTTAACAATGGCTTGCATAATTATAAACCGTTCTCAGCCAATTAGAATGACGTATTCAGGCAATTGAAAAGCTGGTATATTATCAAATATAATAACAATAAGTGATAGATTTACCCAAAACTTTCTCCGTAACTGAATGATGCACGTGTCACCAAAGTGTTACGTAATGTAGTTTCAGAGGATCTAAATATTGGATCTTAACACCCAATACTTATATACTAAATACAGTAAACTACTGTGCGTGATGTACACTACAAATAGTAGGAACGCCGTGGTTGTCAAGCCGGCGTGATTTTTGTGTAAATAATTTTTTTTTACACGAGTTGCATTTGTCGCGTTGGATCCATATCGAACACAACACAGAGTGGCGATATTTCTTTTTTTTAATAGTCATCACTCTACTGATGATTTTAGGTCAACCGCATTTCGTTCCTTGACGACTCGAGTTGCTATAACGATGGCGAGTTAATGCAGCTGTTTTTAGTCGTCTGCATATTACGTGGAGAGAAGTGGACGTGAGAAGAATGTTAAAATCATTGAATACGGGAATCTGTGACAATTTCATTCAATAAGCTGTGAAGACACTTTCCGACGTAAATCATTTCGTATTTCGCATTATACCATTTCTCTCAACGTGACCGGGCACGATTAATTACGTCTGCGATTACTTGATTGGTCATGTGTGTGTTTTTTTCTCGAAATAATCAAAAAATATCCCAAAGGCCCCCTTTATCATCCATCTCCCCACCAAAATATCTACTCGCGTGCATACATTAAAGGGGAGCAGAGGTGTGGCTTTTGACACTCTGTACATGAAATCTGAGATCTATGAATGCATTCTGTCGATAAAAATAACTTGTATGTGCTGCGAAATGCCCTAAACACCGGGTATAAAAAGGGCTGTGAAGCAGACGACAAACTTCCGCTTTTCCTGGTGTCATTTCGCCTCTAGAGGGCCAGTCAAATGACGTCATCAGTGAACAATGATAATTGAAGCCATTCATGCTAGTACGCCAATCCCATAGAAATGCTACTATGAAAGACCTTGTTAACTGACTACTTAAAAGTTGAAACATGGCGAAATGTTGTGCGCATGAATGCCATAACGATTCATGTTAAGTTTCTCGAAATCCCAAATAAAAAATCACGTTGTTGGTTGCGAGAAAACGGCAGAAGAACTAACCTGAAAATGAAGACACGTACAGCG